TCCCCCACTAATTATAAAAGTATACAGCATATTTTAATTTAAATTATGTAATGTAATCCCCACTAATTATTGTTATTTTTTTATTAAACGTGTGCCTATGTAAACGGTAGCAAAAATAGTGTGATTTTTTTTTTTCTTTAAATGATTTTATTATTGCAAAAGGCAAAAGATGGGAAAAATCTGTTAAAGTTGCATTAATTGATGAGAAAAACAGCTTTTTAAGAAGGCCGCTAAGTTGGCCTGTGTGGCCAAAGGGGTGAAGAGGCACGTGTACATATTTTAGCAATTGTGCCGTGTTTGGACAAACATTTATTTTGGTTTTATTTATTAGGGCAACTTTCGCAAGTCAGTATTACATTTTTAAGTATGCAAAATGAGAATTAAGGATATGCCAGTATGTTATCATGAATATTTAGATGAATTAAGGGCGTGTTTGGATATAAATATATTCGTTCAAATTATATTTTGTTCTGTTAATCAGGGTTAATTTAAAAAAGTATAGTATAATTAGTTGTTAACAAAATTTTGAGTATATATTAAAATATTATTTAAAATAAAAAAATAAAAGTTGGATTTTGTAAGATTTATGGTTACAATTCCTTTTAAGAAAACAATTATTTTGTTGCAACACAATGTACATGGATGGCATTCAAACTTTACAACCAAACTGGGTAGGAGTAAAGGGGAGATACTGTATCTAATTTTTAAATTTTTTTTATCATTTTTATGGAATAAATAAATAAATAAAAATGATGGGGAAAATTGGGAAAAAAAAAAAGAGGCATGGGCACGTGTCAATGTCAGTGAAGGGGAAGGATAGAGATGGGAAATATAGAAAATCAAGACATTGGGAGCTGACTTTCTCGATCACCACGTGTCACGGTCTTCGTGAACCACTTTCACTTGTATTCTTCCTATTATTACCTAACTACCCCTTCCACTTTTTTTCTATATAATTTTTCATTTACCAAGTTACTGATAGTAATTATATGAATGATTTATCCATTTTTTTTTTCTCTGAACGGTAGAATATATTATATATAGAATGATTTATCCATTGAGTTTAGAGGTTATAATTTTTTAGATTATGTGAAAAGAAAAGTATGGTCTGTATTAAATTTCGTGTGGTCTCATGGAATATTTATTTTTATTGGAATTATGCTAGTATATAATTTTTTTTCCAAAAGAATCACTATTTATTCATTTCAATTTTTTTTTTCTCAATCTTATAAATATAATCATTCGTTATTTTATAATTTGTAACAAAATTTATTATTTAATCACTCATATATTATAAACTACTAGTAATGTATAACTATTATTTAAATTTTTTATATCACATTAGTTTGAATTATTATATTTTATATTACACTCGTTCATAAACTCAAAACTATTTTATTCTTCCACCCATTTTTTTGTCATTTTTTTTTAGAAAAACTTTTCCCTGATTGTGAAACACTAACTACTAAGGTTCTTAAAACCGAACCAGTCATTGAACCAGTCGAGCTATTACTCAATAGTTCATTAGTCGAACTAGTGGTTAAACTAGTTGAACTGCTATTTAATTTAATAATATTTTTAAATATATGTAATACATTATATAATAAAATTTATATATAAATATTTTAATATAAATGATTAAATAGTTTAAAACATTCAAATGCTTAAAACAAATAGTTTATAACATCCATAATATTTAAATAACTATTTTTATTTATATAGTAAATTTTCAAAATATATAATATTCTTTTTAAATAAAAACACTGGACTGGTCCAAATGATCGGTTTTGGTCGTGTTAACTGGTTGTTTACAAGTTCGCTGGCAACCAATCTTCCAACGAATCTGACCGGCCAACAAACCGATTCCCGGCGTGCTAAATACACTTAAGTTATAGTAACGTATTTTATAATGCATAAATCTTTAATCGGAAATTCTTTAGAGTTCTTGATGTGAACTACTATGAAGTGGATGGTTCGATCCTATCGTTGACTGCATTACAGTTATCAAAACTTTTAATGTTAGATCAACACACACATATTTGGATAATTTGAGTGTCATCATCTATTTTTTATTGTTGACTCGCATACTTGCACACACCCATGGTGAGGGCAATACCTTTATCAGTAGGGTCAAATTTTTCACATATACACAAATAGATATTGATTCAATGATAAAAAACTATGTACTTAGTAATTCAAATTTTCATATGAAGAATAGTGCAATTTAATTTATGTAATAAAATAATTACATGGTTAAAAAACTATGTACTTAGTAGTTCAAATTTTCATATGAAGTATAGTGCAATTTAATTTATGTAATAAAATAATTACATGGTCCTGTTAATAATGATTAACCACAACAGAAGTCACGAGACAATGCTATTATTGTGTATTAAATTCATTGCTGCGAAAATCTTTTTAGGTGTGCCATATATTATTATTTTTTTATTATTCTCCCGTCAATTTCATTACAACGCATTTTCTTTTCCTTTCATTATCATTGCTACTAACAAGTCAAAAGATGTAATGTGAGACATCATGTTACAAACAAATACACTCATAACGCCTTATCCTTTTCTTTCTTTTTTCTAAAGAAAATAAGTTAGGGGAAAAGTTTCATCCCTAATTAGCAACTTGTCAAAATGAAGTATTGTAATAATAATAATAATAATTCAAACAAGATTTGGTAAAAAGGATTTTAAAATTCACATATAAAGATAAATAGCTAGCTTTTCCCCTAACTTTTGCACTCCATTATGGCATGATCTAATAAGTGCTAAAAAAAGAAACAAAAATGAATGAAAGAAAACATATTTACCACATATAGTCTTGATAAATTAAATATATAATATAATCTTGTACTTATTATTATTATTATTATTATTATTATTATTATTATTATTATTATTATTATTATTATTATTATTTTCACTTCACTTTTGGTACTATTTAGATCAGATAATGAAAGTGGAAAGGAAGTGTTTTCGTTCTGATTTTATCCGCTGTGGGGATAATGTAATAACTCATATGCTGGTGTTTAGGTGGGTTTACTAAATCAGGCTAATAGGTTGTCTCTCTCTCTCTCTATTATTTTTAGGCAAGATGGATATTAGATTTTTCCGAAAAAGAATTTGTCACCTTTGAAAATTACTAGAAAAAAAAAAGAAGTAATTTTGAAATTGTGAATGGTGTAATATAAAAGAATTTCATAATATTTGATTTAATTTAAAAATAATAAATACTAATCAATAAGATTGATAGTTACGAATTTGTCAGTGAAGGAATGATATTTTCTGT